CACAAATCAAGTACTCTTGGGCTTTGAAAAACTTTCGGGAATGTTTTGTAACAATTTAAACTAGAATGACTGTTTTGATCTAGAAAATCCAATTAGAGGGGCTGTTTTGTAATAACTTAAACAAAAGGGACTGTTTTGATTTTGTAAAATAGATGGAGGGAATGATTTGATCAATAAATACAAACGAGGTGGTAAAGATCTTGGTTTGATCGAGAAAAAAAGGAAGGAAAATCGAAGGCAGCAAGGCTGTCATCGACTGTTGCAACTAGGGGGCTGCTCCAGCGGCCTCTTGGTGGTTCTTTTCTGGTTAGATCAGTAGAAAACACGAAAGGGGGATGGGAAAGGCAAATCAGTGACTTCAGGGGGTGTGTTGATATGGTGTCGAGGGGGAAGGGTGGATGGGACAGTCGATCTCCGGCGAACCTCTTTATGGTTTTACTCATTGTCGCCAATAGTAGCAAATCGGAAGGATGAAAACTGCAGGAGCAGTCGACTGTTGAAGCATGTTGCCCTCTTGACTGTCGGAAGACTCCACCTCTGATAAAGGTTTTCTTGATCAAAATTGAAGAAGAATGAGGGAGGCTGAACTGGAGTGGAACAACAAGCAGGTGGGTGGTGTTTGGTTGTAGGGTCTCGATAGAAAGAAAAGAAGAAAAGGCTGCTCTTCGTGGGGATTACCGAAAAACAGCACCTCAGGTGGGTGCTTCTTCCACCGTAAGAGAGAGATAGAGAGAGAGAGAGAGAAAAAAAAATGTTAGAGAGAAAGAAATGCTAGAGAGAGAGAGAAAGAGGTTAGTAAGAGAAAGAGGATGTTGTCTATTTGTTGTAAGGGTGGTCGGTTTTGGTGTCACTAGAGGAAGCAGTTTCAACCTCCGGGTCCACGTTAGGGTTTAAAGTTTGACCATGTTCTATTCTCCTTTCCTTTTTCAATCGCATTGCTTCTTTTTCAATTTTTGGATTGTAGAATAAAGTACATGTACGATAAGATCCGATCATATAGAAACAAATTAATTAAAAATAAACCAATCCCCGGCAGCGGCGCCAAAATTTGGTAGTTGTCGAGGCCAAAAAAATAAATAACCCTAAATCTTGTACACTAAAATAGTGTATAGTGGTAAAGGGGTCGAATCCATGGATATTGGTTCAATTTGTTACTCAATGTAAACCTTTTTGCAAAAATACTTGTAAAATGACAATAAAAGTAAAAACAGAGGTTTTTGTCTTTTGAACTATTTAAAAAAAAAAACTAGAATTAAACCAAGATTTAAAGAGACAATTCAAAAAAATCAAGAGTTTGATGTAAAATCAATGACAGAAGGATGGTTGACCTTGGCTTTCATCACATGGACAATTAGTTGATTATCATTAGAGATTATGGTGCAAGACTTTTGATTCCATTTTAACTTGGCTATAGCAACCTAAGAAGCTTGAGGTCACCTAGACTTTTCTTAGTTAGTAAAATAGCTAGAGAATCTCATAGCATATTTCATTGGTTAAAGTCACAATTTCCATTAAGTATGTAATTACTAATTAGTGAAACTTAACTAGTATTAAGAACTAAAATGTCACCAAATCCAAGAGGAGTCAAATGATTTCACTACCATGTTGGAGAAAGTGTTTTTATGATTGTGTGAAGTGAAAACTAACACAAGAACCATTTGTTGCTTGCTAATTTGAGGATCTATTACTTAATCAAAAAATTAGCCAACTAATTACCAAACATACATCTAAACTCATGAAAATCAACCAAGATTAGTTTAGCCTAGCATGGCTAAACTCAAGAAAACAAAATAAAAGTTAAAAGTACCCAACATATAATAAGAATCAAGAGTAAAAAGATGATGTTTTGATGTTCTTCTAGTGCTCCAAGACCTCCCAAATCTCTATAGAAATGATCAATTTTCGGATATGTAGAAGTATGCAAAAGATGCACACCAACCTTCCTTAAATAACACTCAAGATAGAATTCCGAAAATACCCCTGCTGGTCTGTGCGAGGGTCACACATCCCTGCGCGGGTGGCATATAATGGGGGTTCATTTGAGTTTTTGGGCCTCCAAAGCTGAGCCTACTGGCCTGGATCGAGTCCAATCAGCTCAAAGCCCTTTTTTCTTCAAGTTTTCTTCAATCTAAGCTTAATTTGGCTTCTCCAAGTCACCCATAGCTCACATACTCGCCCAATCAATAATCTCTGCATGCTCGAATATTCTTCAATTTTCTTCTAAATTCAAAGTCCATCTTCTTCAAGCCTTCCAAAAATCAACAAGCCTATGATTTGCATCATCTTCATTAGTCTTCTAACCCATGATTCTTCATTTTACTCCAAGTCAATTTGCTTCCCAAAGATTACGCTCTGATAGTCTCCTTAAAATCTGCAATTATGCTCACAAAACTAGAAAGTTCCCGAAACAGTCATAAAATACAAAAAAGAAAATATGCATCAAGATTAGCTAAATTATGAATGAAATATGCTAAAATAAACTATACAAATAAGTAAATAAAATAAAACTATCAGCCACCGATCCCGATATGTAATTTTTTTTTTCTGAAAGTGTCTGTTGATTGTCTCGTTCGTGGTGATTCCAAAAATGCAGATGGAATTCAATTCCGATATACGAAACTCTGGAAAATGGCTTTTAAAATTTCGAGATTAATTGGTTCCGATTCGACATATTTTACGAATTTGATTTTGATCGAGATTAAAAATGTCATAAAAATGAAATCAAATAATGGACCATAGTCTAAGTTCAAAAGAGTGCTAAAAAACAATTTACGAGGGTTGTAGTTATTCCAAACGAAGCAGTGCAGAGTTTGTTTAAGGAAAATCAGATAAATATTTATTTTATAACTTGAAAAAGGCGTAACTTCTTCATACAATCTTCGTTTTGGACGTTATTTATATCCACAAAATCAGGTGAACATAATATATTCAAATTACTCATCTATAGCTCTTAAATATACATAATGCGAAAATTTTTATTTTTAGGGCATTAAGTAATACTTATTTTGTGAATTATTTTCCGATTGCTAACGACTGTCAACTTTGAAATTTTTTAAGGTATTCTGTATGCAATTTTAAGTATAATAACTTCAATTGCACTCGAGAACAATGAATACTACACAATAGGTCATTTTATATTAATGTTCGCGGTGGTTTGATCGATGAACTTAACCTAATTTACCATTGTTATATATATGAATTCTAAAAACTTATAACTTTATATTACATTTTAAGAGTAAGATGGTGTTTGTTTCTCTTATGTCTACTCACAAAATATATTTGAGAAAAAAATGTTTGTTTTTCTAAAGACAAAAGACATGAAATAAATCTTTTTGACACCTTTTTCCAAAAGACAAAAAAGTATCTCCTCATTTGGAAGACAACTTCTAGGTTCTAACCCAAATGTAATATATATTTTTTCCATCGTCACTGCTATCGCCGCCACCACCACCACCATCATAGCCGCAACCACCACATCTGCTACCTCTGCACCACCATTGTGGCCACCTCTATAACTTTTGCTACCACTGTCGCCGCCACTACAACCACCTCCGCCACCACCACCACCTCCATCTATGTCCTCCACTGCAACCATCGTTGCCACAACAATCACCTCCATCACCACCAACACCATTATCGCCTCCACCACAATCAACACCCCCACGGACTTAAAAAAACAAACAATTTTTTTTATGAAGATCGAAGGCATGGAAAAAAAGACTTTTCTACATTTATTCCGCAGACATCAAAAATTCTTTTTTTTTGAAATATTGTTCTACAGACATGGAAAAAGACTAAAGACATTTTACCTCTCAAAAAACAAACACCACCTAAATCTTGTTGGAAGCAAATACATCTAGTTATATGATCCTACAAACGGGTATGAGTGTTAATCCATGACACTACATGAAAAAAAATATATGATACGAAACCAAATTGACATGAAATTGAAATTTGAGTTCGTATAAATACATAGTGTAAAAAAACCATGCCGGATCTTGTTCGAAGCTTGACACCATATTAACACGTGTTTCTCATGTTTTGTATGATTAAGTATGAATTAAAAACATATTAAGTATTTTATGTTATGTTTTTCGTGTTGATCAAGTTTTAAATTAGGTTGTTTTCCTGTTAGTTGAAAATAATACGATATCGCTCCATTTTGTGTTATATAAAAAAATTAACGTGTCATGTTTTATGCATATAAAAAACGACACTATTGTCCAATTTAACACCCCTAAAAATATGTTGCTTTATTTCAACAAAGTATGATCTTTCAGTAAGTATCAATCTTCCAAAAAGTCTATGGCTTACTTGAGGCATCTTATCGTTACACATTGATTTATAGAAAAAGGTCAAGATTTACCCATGACGAGTCAACAATTTATGAAATAATAAAGCATTTCAAATGCATGCTCATATTAAATATATGTATATGATGATGTAAAAATGTATCATGACATGTAGTTTAAGAAAACTCATTTTTAGTATCACCAGTTTTCATAGTAAGTCACTGGGGACTGCGGTCCTAGAGTCTGTGGTACCTCCAAGGTAAATGCCATCAACCAAATCGTAACTTGCATGTAGAACTCCAATATCATATGCGAAATCAAATGGGTGCGACCTATTAAACCCATGCGTATAGGTATAGCAATCATGTGTCGAACAATCTTTTAATAGAGTAATCATGTGTTGCCAAATATAATCCAACGTATCTCTAGGTGTCATTAGAGTAACAATTTTATTCCTTTAAAATCAATAACATAAATAATGAAAACGACATTTAACCAAAATAAAATGTTTTATGAAGTGATTGTTATAAATTTTCCATGTGTACATATTGCTGAATAAAATCCAACGTCTATATTTTCTCATAAAACCTTCTTTAAGTAACGTAACATGCCAAAATGATATCATCCATACCAAATCTTGTAAAAACATGTATAATCACAAAAATAGTCAATTTAACATGTAAATAATTTTTTAAAATTACAACATGACTCAGCTGGGAAGATAGGTGTATGTTTCACTTACAATCTTACATGACTCGCCTGGAAGATGGTGTATGTTTCACTTTCTGAACAGTGCCCATGGTGACTCATTGATCTAAATTGTCTAAAATTAGTAAATTACCAACCAAATAAACATGTAACTAATTAGGGGTGTATATGGTCTGATTTGGTTCGGTTATTGGAATAAATGAACCATAACCATTATAATCGGTTAATGAATTTTGGTAAACATCGGTTAGCGGTTAGTAATGGTTTTGGTTAATGATTTTAGTCGGTTAACATCAGTTAACCATAATGGTCCAAAAATTACATAAAAAATGAAAAATGCATTTCTATAAAAATGAAAAAACAGAAAATAAATTGTTATAAAAATGAAAATAAGAAAGTACTATGTTATTAACTTACTTAAATCTTTGGGCTATTAATTGAGACACCTAAAACCTACCACACATTTCCTCCTAACTCCTTCAAAAAACTAGTAGATGTCAAAAAAATTAATCAAAAATATGCTCCATAGATATTAAACATTAGCTTATTGATTTATAATCTTCTTCAACAACCATACTTCCATAAATACGAAGAACCAACCTTTTCTTTTTAAATTGCTAATTTTATAGAACTTTCAATTTGGCTAGACTTTATTTAGAGAAAATTCATCAAATGACCAAAATGAAAGGGTGTTTGTAGCAAATGACCATGAAAAACACAAATTTATTAAATGACCATGACTTCCGCAGAGGGGCTCTACGGAAGTCCTTACGTTATGAGGAATGAGAAAATCGCTCTGAGGAATCGGACACGTGGGGAAAAAGACAAAAAAAAGCTTTTACACAGTTCCGCAGAGAGGGGCTTTGCGGAAATGAATACGTCTCTGCAAAACGCATGTACATCTGTGAGGAAATGGTAGCTGAAAACATTAATTTTTTCCCGACATTTCCTCAGACACACATGCGTTCCGCAGAGGCGTACTAATTTCCGCATAGCCCCTCTCTGCAGAACTGTGTAAAAGCACTTTTTTTTTTGTCTTTTTCCACACTTGTCTGATTCCTCATAGCGATTTTCTCATTCCTCAGAGCGTAAGGACTTCCGCAGAGCCCCTTCCTTTTGGTCATTTGCTACAAACACCCTCCCTCATTTTGGTTATTTGATGAATTTTCTCTAATATTTATCTATAACTTATAATTCATATATAACTATATATACATTTTGGTTCGATTATAATGGTTCAGTTTCCATATAAAACCATAAATGAATCATTACTTATTGGTTAACAGAAAAACATAAGTGAACCATTGGTTTTTGAAATGGTTTGATTTCGTTTTTGAAATGGTTTGATTATTATGGTTCGGTTGTGTTGATTAATTCGGTTTTGGTTCCATTTTGCAGTTATTATGGTTATTACTCTCACCTCTATAACTAATAATATTTTGGTTATACATGCTTAATTATTATATATCCCTTGTTGGTCTAATATTTAAAAAGTTTAGATGAATTAGAATGGAGAAATTGATTATTGACCAAAACGACATCCAATATGGGTATGAAAATGTTTTTTTCAACTCATATTTGTTAGTATATTATGATTTAAACCCCTCAGAAATTATAAAGTATTACTATTATAGAAATAATACATGCAAAAAACTCTATAACTTTGGCTTTTCATCCCTTTCGCTAAAGTTCTCTATTTCCCCTCATATAAGTTTGACTCTATAGAAATGTTGAAGAAATTACTCTTTTGAGAGTATTTCTTACTTTGAGATATGAATACAAATGAATTCCTAAATCTGAAAAAGTAGACAGGTAAGGAGCCAATCTTGCCAAATTTCCAGAAGATTAAGATAGGGAAGAGACTACATGTTTTCTTTTCGGTGTCAAAAGGCAAAGCTTTTTCAATTGTTTTACTTGAATCACAAGATTTTCCGATTCAAGTATACCACTCTTTCTTTGTTTAACATATTGCCTTACATCAAACTCCTTGAAGAAACATCTTCAACTCTTTCATCCATCTTATCACTTTTAACATGATGGAAAGCTTCCACCTCCTCGTTGTTGTTGATTGGGATTCTTTAACCACAAAACCCAATCAAACGACCTCTTAGACCTATTAGAACACCAAAAATAAGCTTGCAAGACAATATTGTCAAAAAGAATACACTTCTTAGGTTGTTCTTTCCCAAACAAGGTCTTATTATTAAAAAACCACATAAACGACCACAAAAACCACACATGAAGCGTCCAAAACTTTCAAGAGATCCCTTTCCACCAATTTAATTGTCCTCCCTAACCCTTTAGCTACTCCACCACCTTCCACCACCTTGTGTCCTTTCAAAACTGATTCAAAAGATCTTGAGCTCCTTATAACCTCCTGATATTGTACTTGCTTGTTTTGTTCACATATTACATGTTGAGCAGTAGATCCGTTTTTATCAATCCAAATGGCGCATAAGTTTCATACTAACATTTCTTGATCAATCACCTTTAACAATCATACACATCCAAATCTTCTATACCAATCTCTAATAATTAGATAGACATTTGAAACCACTCCATATTGTTCTCATATTTTCTAAAAATCTTGATTCTGAAAGTTGTCTGGAAAATTAGCCACATAGTCAACACCGGTAGGCAAAGTTGGCTGCTGTTTAGGGTTTTAATTTTACTTTTTGTTTTAACCGGTTCTGTGTTTTTTAATATTTAGTATATAACGAAATTATAAACATGGCGATTAATTATGTTTGTTGGGCTGGTGGAAACATGCGACTTAAAAATTTAACATGCGGTTTTTCTTTTCTTTATAATTATCTAATACACCCAACCCATTTAACCCCAAGAAAAACTTTATTTCAAATTTCATTTACGCTGCAAAGAAACTTGAACGACCGTGAATTCAAAAATAAAGATGGTTGACTTTGGAGAAGAAGGTGAGGATGAAGATGAAGGCCAAAGAATCAAATTTGTATAAGGAGATAACGTCGTTAATAACATAGGAAAAATATAAATTTTGAAAAACTTATTGTTTTGAAAACACATAGTTGCATTAAGCAAACGTGCGGATGTATAATCGTAAACGCAATAGATTTTATTATCATAATGGAACAGTTGACATCATTGACACATCAGTATTTAGTATGGACATTTCTAAAATGGTGGCATAATCATAACTAAAACGTAAGTGTTCCATCAATGTACATTAGAAATTCATTAACTTTATAATAAGAACAAAAATTAATGCTACCCATAAGGTTCATAGTTGGTTTTCAGATTTTAATATTCAATAACTAAGAAACAAACGTGACATGAAATTTCAAAACGTATGAAAGATAACGTTGCAAACTTCGAAATCAAAAGTTTTAACGTAACAAATTGATCAATAACTTTTGTTATCAGTCAAACATTTTTTGAACGGAAACAACAGAATTTATGGACCAAAAAAGTAAACTTAACGAGTACCATACAACGATATTTACAAATAAATTCAAATTAAAATGTTATAAAAACATTATTATTATATAGTTTTTGAACAATCAAAAAGAGAGATTCTTTTTTTCACAATGAAGGAAGCAATATAGTATTCGAAAAAGCCAAACCTGGCGGCGATCATCCTTCTCGTGGCCAACCATACATCTTTCGGTTGGCAAAGATTATCTTTTCATTTGACTTAATTAATCTATTAGCATCCATATAATTTCTGTTTATGTGTTTCTGATAAATTTAATTTTTTATTACATAATATAATCCTAAAAGTAATTATCAAACAAAACTAATAATTTACAACCAACCAAGTCCCAAAGTCGGTATTTTATCGGGTCATTTAGATAATTTGAAGTTAGACAATAATCATGTGATACTTTACAAATTTTATTTTTAACAAACTGAGAAAAAATTAACACAAAAAGCTTTTACCCACAGTTAGATGTCGAGTAAAAAGTCAATCAACCTAATTAAAAATGGTAATGGTAAATGATAAATAAATATGTTACACTTGATGTAAATTTGACTATCTTCTCTGTAGATAATTAAACAATCACAAATTATATGTTTTTTCAAGCATGAATTTCTTTAAGTCGTATTAGTTATATAATTTGTGAACGCAAATCCATATTATTTGATAATGATTATATTTATTTAGCTAAAAATTAGATAAATTTTGTGATGTTCTAATTATATTAAAAGTTTATAAGAAAATATTCAAATATTGAAAGTAATACGAGGGTTACTGAAATTTCGTCCCGCCATCCTCCAACGACCTGGACTAGTCTACCAGAAGCAGCCGTGGAAGAAAAGTCAATTCGCCACCGCGTATTTCAGTTCTAATCCTTACATAGTTCTCCCATAATCCTCTCCCAAATCCACAAATTCTTTCTTTCTCCAATCGATCAGATTAAGGAACGATTTTTGATTTCTGATTTTGTGTTTTATTTTTTTGAATTTTGAAAACACCGGCGACAAAGATGAACGATCTTCTATCCCGCTCGTTTTCCGCCGGTCGCAACGGTGATATTGAGATGGGGAACGCCGCCGATGCCGACGGTACGAACCTCGACAAGTTCTTTGAAGATGTGGAGGCAATCAAGGAGGAGCTCAAAGGTCTTGAGGTACTTCACGATCAACTTCAATCCTCGAACGAGGAGAGCAAAACCCTACACAACGCTAAATCCATCAAAACCCTACGAACGAAGATGGACAACGACGTCGCTTTGTCTCTGAAGAAAGCGAAGCTCATAAAAAACCGTCTAGAAGCCCTAGACCGTTCCAATGCATCCAACCGGAATCTCCCCGGCTGTGGTCCGGGGACCTCCACCGACCGGACACGAACCTCCGTCGTCAACGGTCTCCGCAAGCAACTCCAGACGTCGATGAAGTCCTTCAACGAGCTCCGTCAGAAAATGACCGCCGAACACCGGGAAACCGTCCAGAGAAGGTACTACACCGTCACCGGCGAAAACGCGGATGAAGCTACAGTCGATAACCTAATCTCAACAGGACAAAGCGAGACTTTTCTACAGAAGGCGATTCAGGAGCAAGGAAGAGGACAGGTGATGGATACAGTGCTTGAAATTCAGGAACGACACGACGCCGTTACAGTGATCGAGAGAAACCTTAAGGAGCTTCATCAGGTTTTCATGGATATGGCAGTGCTTGTGGAACATCAAGGAGCGCAACTCGATAACATCGAGGATCATGTGAACAGAGCAAACTCGTACGTGACTCGTGGAACTGTTCAATTGAATGAAGCCAGGAAGAAACAAAAGAACACACGAAAGTGGACTTGTTATGCGATCCTTCTGTTACTGATTATCATTGCCATCATCGTCTTGTCCATTAGACCATGGAAGTAGAAACCTGTACGCTGCTCTTCACCACTTGTACCTTTGGTATGTTTATTAGTTTTTGTTTTCCAATTATTTGTTCATATTCGTGGGTGAGATACTGAGATTGATGTTTTCTGGTTTGATCGGTGTTCATAGTATTGTAATTTAATGGCAGATGAGATGATATTCATTCTTCTTTATTCTTCGTTAATTTCTGTATCAATATTTGATTAATTTCACTACAATAATACAATGAAAATCACCTGAATTCAATCTTCTCTGCGGGATCTGTTCTTGAGTTTACAGAAGAGTCCGTTCTTCGTATGTATGGTTGCTCCGGTGACAAGCTCCACAGATTCCGGCGATCCTTTCAACTCCACATCAAACTTCCATAATAGCATCGCTAAAGCTATTGTCGACTCCATTAACGCAAACTGATCTCCTACACATCTTCTAGGTCCTCCACCAAATGGTAAGAAAGCAAAATCTGATACAATCTGTTATCACGTCACCACCCATGAATCTGTTAGATCACGCTTTCCACAATTCATCAAGTAAGAACAGTAAAAAGTAAAAACCTCATTTGGGTACAGAGCTCCAGGGCTTCTAGATGGATCAAAACCAGCCCACCCTTCAATATTATTGTTATCGTTTTGAACTAGAAACCTTTCTGGTTCAAATTCATTGGGATTCTCCCAAAAGTATGGAGATCTATGGAGATTATATATCTGTTTGAAAAATTAATAAAAATCTTTACATAAGAACAATTGAATTCTCACTATTATGAAAAATGTTTGAGTTTTTACTTACTGAAATAAATATATCTGTTCCAGCAGGAATTTGGTATCCTTCTTTATCACCCTTATAACCTCCTGGTAATATATCTGATTTTAAAGAACGTCTGATGAGCAATGGAGGCTGAGGGTATAAACGTAAACTCTCAGAAATTATGAGTCTAACGTATCTGTCAAGTACAACAAAAATAGTAATCATTATAAATTATAGAAATGTACTTATAAAAAAAGTAACATTCATTTGGAAACCCGAAACCTACTCTAGTTTTTTAAGGGACTCCAAGGTTATTCCATCCTCTGAGATGACTGTATCGATTTCAGCTTGTGCTTTCTTCATTTTGTCTGGATGCTAAATAATAAGAAATTTAGACACATAAAAGTAAGTGATAATTACAAAAATGTCCAAAATGGTAGTATTTTAGTCTGATTTGTACTTGAGCAAGAAGGAAGACAGCCCAAGTAAGAACAGCAGCTGTTGTTTCATGCCCAGCAATAAGCATTGTCATCAAGTCATCTCGTAACTGTTACATAAAATTTCTAAAAAAATATTATTCAAATTGAAATTTATTATTTTAATTTAAAAAAGTGAGATAACACATGAGTCATGACAGACTTACTTGACGATCATCAACATCAACTCCTCTCATGTCAACCAAGAAACGCAAAAGACTCGCATCTTTAAGATTTTTGTAGTCCCTTTGTTGCAATTTCTCAACATCTGTTTCCTGTCATTTAATTTATCAATAAAAAGTTTATAACTTTAAATAAAAAATTGTGGGTTTTATACTTTTATTAATGAGAGTCACCTGTCTTGTATCTTTTGCATTTTTTATAAGACCATCGAGACAATCATTAATAATCTTGAGATCATTTGCAAACTTTCTTTGTCTTGGAACAAGCCATCTAGCTAAAGGAAATTTCCAGTAAGGAATGTAGAATGTAGAACGATGTTCAGCTTCAAAAAGTGTACCATATACTGCCTGAGATAAAAAATATATATATTATTATTTATTTTTTAGAAAAAATAAAATTTGTTAATGTATTGAATGATGACTAGACCTTAATGACAGGAGATTCTTTTGTGACAGAACCAAAGTCATAATTGAAAACACCAAGACCGATTATGTCAAGTGCCAAATTTGAGAATTCAGCTTCGAGATCTAACTCGATCTCATGTTCTCCTTGTGAGTTTTTTGCTTCTAGAAGGTTCTCGAGTTTAGATATTGTTCTTTCTGAACAATTGGCAAACATTTGCACCATGGCTTCCAGATATAAGGTGTGGAATCCAGGAGCTATAACTGTGAAAAGTTACAAATCAACAGACACATGTATTAATTATTAACTCTCATTTTCAAACAATACAAAAAAGGGCTTAATAAATATCAAGTTTACCTCTTCTCCTTTGCTTCCAAGTCTCCAAGTCAGCAGGAATTAACCCTTTCCCCATAATTGGTTCCAGAATATCAGCAAGAACTCCCTAAATGATGCATAACAAGTGTCATACAGAGAGGGAAGAATAGAAAAGAATATCAAGAACTTAAGAATTGTACCTTATCATATGAAAATGCATTTTCACGAAGAATATATCGGGCAACAATTGGATCTGATACAACTACAAATGCTTTTGGACCAAAAGCAAGTTTATAAACTGAGCCATGCTGTTCAACAAATCATCATTGAGGTGTCATAGATGTTAATAGCTTATGAATTAATCATACAAAGAGAAGAAAAATGAAAAGTACCTCTATGAACCAGTCAAACAAAGAGAAGAAAAGAGGTTTTCCAAACAAATCAGACACAGCACCTTCAGCTACAGGCATGGAACCTATGCTTCCACCACTCAAGAAATTAGTCAATAAATTGCTTGCGTTATCCAAAACATTCCTACTCTTATTTGTCTTCTCATCTGTACTTGTTGATTGACATCTGCATTCATCATACGACACAACCACAACTAATCTCTTATAATCAGATTCAAAAAATTTGTAATCGATTTAAGTAATTCATGCCACCACACAGAGTAAATTGAATGTCCAAATCACCTCTTTAACAAAAAAAACTTAACACAATGAAGCAGCAGAATGGTTTTCTATGTTCTCCTAGAATTTCAAATTGAGTTACCTGATTCGACATGTTCTCGGATTCGCACTGAAGCGATAGGGTTTAGAAGAAGTTGAAGATGGAATATCATTCGTGCAGAACTGAGGGAGCAAAGAGCAACTAGTGGTGACAATTGACATGTCTATTGAAATTCAATCGGAAAGGGGTTTCAGTTAGGAAGATCGACGCAATTGGAGATGGCGATATTATGATATCAGTGGCAAATTTGGGGAGCCACCCACATGGTATTGCTGCTAATTATAGCAGAATGTTGAAGTTAAAAAACTGAACTTGGGATGCGTTGGGAAGATACTTTTAACTGAAATGTTTGTTTACTGTGCGCCCAAAATCGGATTTTGGTAAGGTGGGGATATTTGCATTCCACCCCCTATAACTTTTGGTTTTTCTCATATATGTCCTTAATGACTAATAAGGTACATGCTTAAACGGGCATTCTACCTCCCGAACCAGAACAACCATACTCGCCGAACCTGAACCATGGTTTAGTAGGTTGAGTCCCTGAGGTTACCGCAAGTATGGTCTTTCCGAACCATTTGGATGATTAGATCAGTTACACTAGTAACCAATGACATCAAGTCATATAAACATTGGTATTATCATTAAACAGGTTGTAATGCACTAACGAATCATAACAGTTCATGAAACCTAATTGATAAGACTAATGACACAACCTTAGTACAACATTTTCTACCTTCGGTAGCAAGAGCATTAATGGCGACTAGACTATCACCTGCTCGGCATGTCCAAGCCGTTATTTCCCAAGGAAAATAGGTATAAAAGCAAGCCGTTATTTCTCAAGGAAAATAGGTATAAAAGCAAGCCGTAACGAATAACAAAGGTATGTACCATCGATCAAATTCACTATTCCTTGAGGTTTATTCGATATTTGTCTTATAACTTAAGCTTTGGGGCGTTCTCCCGGGAGTTCATCCCCATGAATGTGTAACGATTTATGGTGCAATTTCAGGTACGAGAGCTAGTCACGTAATCCATACATGAAGAAGTTAACAAGAGATCTTAGACTGAAACCTGAGGCGCATCAAATGACACCATCCATGGAAACTACATGTGACAATCAAGAAATTAGGTCAAAGATTGTCGGTCAAACCACCACAAACACCTCATGTAATAGACCTAATGTAATGTATTTTAATGCAAATAAAGTTTTTATACTTGGAAATGCATGTGGAATACCATTCAAGTCTTCTATGAATATAGAACTTTGTCAAACAAACACTATTCACTATACATAAGTAATGAATTAATGCACTGAAAATAAGATTTATGTATTAAAGATTATTATGTACAAATAACACTCTAGACGGATAAAGCATGAGAACATGCTTTAATGGATATAAAGAGCGTCGCAAACGGAGTTCATATGCAAAAGTTACAACCTTTTTAAGAACACAAAATTGTCAGATAACAGTCTGCGACCTGAAAACGTCACTTCAAACGCTATGTAGTGTACTTTAAAACATTAGTTTTTGATCCCAAATAATTTCCCCATAATCACTAGTCAACTTAGTAATCTCATAATTTCTGTTGAATAAGAGGTCCCCCACGATGTGGCAGATAAATCTCCACGTCGTGGCAGGTAAAGAAAAAAAACACGGATCAAACATGGGTTACGATGTGGCAGAAGAGCCCATGACGTGGCAACGAAGCAGAATGACGAGTTTGTTATCCTTCAATTGTTCAAGTTCAACTAATGCACATTCAATTGTTAGACAACCTAATTCTCTGATACCACTGATGGTTTTTAAATGTAATAATGCGGAAAATACCTTAAACTCTTAAGTGTACATGCAACCTAATTTGATATATTTCATAACTCTTTTTAAGCAACATACTATTGAACAACAAAATTCTAAACCCTAATTGAAATCGAAATTCACAAGGATAATAACATACATCTGATTTGTTATTGTAAACAAACCCTTTGATCCAACTAGATCAATCCAACAGTCTCTTGAAAACTAGCTTTAATTGTATGCAAGTCTCTAATGGTTCACACCCACAACACAAGAACCCAAGAAGATTTAGGAGAGAGGAGGCAATTTTTGGTTATGTGTGTCTGACTGCATTGGCTGAAAATCCTAAGCCATAAGGCTCTATTTATAGTTGATTAGGAAAGAACTAGAAAACCTAATTTGAACATAAAATAATATTTTTTTCAAATAAGGTAATTATCTAGTTCATAAATTATCAATTATCTATATGAAGGCTTCCAGAAGGCTCCAAGAGGAGCCTCCAAACCGTCAACCTCATGAAGGTTCTGGAACCTGTCATCTGCTAAACTTTTGAACAATTATAGCTATAGTCCTTCAATTTTTAATTAATTATAATTAACCCATAATTAATTCCTAATTAATTATTGTTAATTCTAAATTAATTATAACTATTTCTAATTAATATATTAGTCATATAATATATTAATAAATATTTATCTCTCTCATATAATCAGTCTAAGCAATTTAATGGTTATGATGGCAACCCAAAAAGGACTTTACTTTTATTCATCAACATTATACTAATTTAGTTATGACCTTAGATACCTTAATCCAACAAAATAAGCGATAAAACGGATTTTTGATAAAAGATTGTTTAAGATAAATAATCTTAACCGAATTTATAGTATATGTGACAAGGATCTTATACATATAAAAAACTCTGAAATCCGACTTTGTATGAAGAAGTTATGCATCTTTGAAGTTTCGCGATTAAACCGACACGACTCTGCGTATCATAAAAAGTGAATTTTAGATAGGTTTCTTATTATCCTAAACAATCTAAGCAAAAGTCGTAGTAAATGTAAAAACGAGAGCTTTCATATAAATAATGTCCAAATTTGACTTCGTGAGAGGAAGTTATGATTTTTCAAAGTTTCTGTACAACTGTGTTAGCATAGAAATCAAATTTTAGATCAGTTGATTGTTAGTTGAAACATCTAAATGGGAGTCGAAGATCTCATTAATAGGAGTCCGTCGATATAAAGACAGTTGAGAATGGACGTCGTATGTAAAAGATATGAATTTTAAACGGAGATTAGTTGTCTAAGCCTTCTAAAATAATAAATAAAAAATAAAGTGATAATTAGACAATGGAGTCTAAATGAAAGTTGTAGATCTTGTCGATAGCTACATATGGATATAAAGAACATCAAAAATGGAGTCCGTATGAAGAAGTTATGAACTTTTGAATTTTCCTGAGTGCACTTCGCTCAAATAAGGCACGACACGCACCTTCTAGAAGCCGTCACGTCACACCACGCAAAACATGACATGTGTCAGCAGCTGGGAGGCCGACCAGTCCATATGCACGGTACACACCTGGTGTGTGCGCGACGCACAATGTTGTTTTCAGCCCTATAAATAGCCTCCAACCCTCATTTGATGTCCACACCTTTCCCAAACAATGCCTCTCGAATCTCTTCTCCCTAGTTCGAAAATTTTTAGTAATTAGGGTATTTTGGTTAGTACTAAGGTCCCTGAGAGCTTGACAACTAGTAGCTATCAGGCCGGAGTTCTGCCAGTGCAATTTAACTTTTGTCAGGAAAATCTCTGTAAGTTAAGCTACACTTATATCGCTTTTAGTGTAACTAATATTTTATAGTCATGGTCGTTATTATGAACCTATAAATAAGATATATCAATAATTCTAATTCATTATATTGATTGATCTACTTACGGGGATGATGTCTAGGTCGGATTTAATAAGGTGTTTAAAGTGGAATTTCCAAACAATATACTTTGTATACCAAACGGACCCTCCTACGATATGATCCTACCCGGTTGTTACTTACTTGATAGATCTTGATGTAGACATTGGGATTAGTGAGATCACCCAATTTGTGTAGGACAGTCGGGGACTGTTGACCCATTGTGGTCTGGTGTGGGTTCCGATGTCTGGTGGAGTCAGACAGATTGTACTGGAGGAGGCTCATAAGTCTCGCTTCTCTATTCACCCGTGGCCCACCAAAATGTTGTTGGGTTTTAAGCATTCTAACACTCCTATGGTGTACATGCAACCCTATAAACCTTGGATCTATGTTTTCTCTATTATACATGCAAATATTAACTATTCCAAGGTTTCATCCTAACTAGCATATTATGAAGCACCTATACTACAAAGTTCTAGTTAGATGACATACCTTTTGATGTAGCTTGATGTCTTCAAGCTTTAAGAGCTTAGCCCCAATAGTGTGGAAGCCTCAAATGGAATCACAAATCACCAAAACACCTTGGAAGAACTTGAGAGAATATGTATGCACACTAAAATCGGCCCACTCTTATTTTCACACACTTGTGCCAATTTTGTGAGCCAATGACCCCTTTATATATTATGGAGGATTAGGGTTACATCCATGTAAACCCTAATACCCATGACCTTTCATTTACATAGGATCCATTGGTTAAAAGCTCCATGGACCATCCATGAAAGCTTAGCCCAACCTAAATGAACTTGGCCCATTCCATATATATAAGAGTCCATATTTAATTAGTTCTTTTTGATCACTTAATTAATTCTTGATCAATACTAATTAAATAATATGATTCCAAATTAATATATTAGAACTTATAATATATTAATATAAATCATAAATATACTATTCTCAAAAGACTATCCATATAAATTGTGTCGGTGAAGTGCAACCCAAATGGACCATGTCGGGTCGGGTCAAGTACATACCAAATATAGTTATGGACTTAGACATTAATCCAACAGTCTCCCACTTGGATAAGTCTAAAACTATTATTGGGTATGACTTCAAAACCTAACTGGCAATCGTAGCTCTTAAAGCCGTTGTCGAACTCTGACCTTGTCAATGACTTGTCCATTAGATAAGGGATCATATATTCCTCCATTCTAGATATCATATGGACTGAGACATGGATTATAATCATTCTCTCTGTCCATTTGTTGTTTCCCGATTTTCGATTTATGATGACTGACTGATTGAACAAATCAAATCAGTCCTGGCTTGGCCAAGCACTCACATGTGTCATCGCTAAATCATCGAGGGGCCCACAGATATCGCTTTTATCCCGAAGGTAAAAGGAATGGACAAACTTCGACTCATATGGCTTGTTCTACTACTTGTTGAATCATACACAAAGGCACGTTTTATAACATCGAGTTACCAATGCGTTTTCGTGCAATCAATGTATAACCAACTCATAGTAACAACTCATATCTCTAGGTTTGAAGAATATAAGATATTATCGTCTCATGATCACTCGTGATAAAATCCATGAAGTGATTCAAATGAGCGTGGGTTGAATCCAATACTCAGAACTTATGAGCACTCATGAGTGTTGTAGCACCACTTTGTCCACCAACTTGGACCTCTACAAACCAACCCATGACAGTCTTGATTCATATCTACTTCCAACATATGACCGACTGTGATGGTTTGAATAACTTAATCATTCAAGAAGAGCGACTTAGTTATTCTGGAAGTCAAA